AGGTACGAGAGATTTGGGACGAAAACGAGTACGATGACAAACATGGGGATTTTACAAGATGTGTGCGAATCTCTAGGTTAAACTATCTAACGTACGAATGACGGACACTCTCTGGTCCAATTAACGGAAAAAAAGAAAAGGAAAAAAAAAGAGACGATTCACGATGTTGAGACTCTCCAGCCTGCAACACAATGCATGCTTCCTATAGCGTCCTAAGACGCCATACCGTGTCATCCTGGCGAAGCCAGGATAGATTTCCTGTCATCAATTCTGTCTAATATCGATATCTGTCATGATTGTTTTGATTGATTGCAAAGGAGTTCGTCAACATCTTCGGCCTTGATCAACTTGTTGAAGTTGCATTTGAATTCTTCATCTTCCAATCCGAGGTCAAACATCAATTGTGGCGGTATCTCATCTTTCCCCCAACTGATGTCTCCTGTCCTTGCATCAAGGATTTTGGATACATCAGTTGTCCATTGCGCCATTTGTTCTTTGACCAAGTCGGTCTGTTTCTCTGTTTCTGTGATGTCTTGGACAGTGTCAATCGAGATTGGGCGGCCACTCTTCAGTAATATCCAATACGTCAGCATTGGACCCGTCCTGTGTGACACTCCCAACCATCGTCCTATTTTGTTCGTCCCCAGGGCGCCGTCTGTGCGGTAGTATACCCATCCATAGATCGTAAAGTCCATGTATTCTGTAATGTCCGGCACGATGCCAGTGATCACTTCAAGCGGTACTCGTCCGTCAGAATATCTCAAGTAGTTGGCGGTGATGTTCATGGTATCAACCACATAATCGAGCACAAAGTCCCATAGCCGTTCTGGTATCCCATGCTTGACTATCAATCTGTAGAATCGTCGTTTGAGCTCTCTGACTCCCCCTTTGGCTGGGTTTTCTTCCGGTCGGTATGGTCTGGAGATGTGGTAGTTAATCGCGGCTCTGTTGATCGTTTCCATAAAGCTTGTGTTGCGTCCCACTTGTACCGCTGCTCCGTCCATTGTGAGGTGCTCTGATATACCGTAGTCAGCTATGGATTTCTTGGGGGTCGGCCCAACTTGCTTGTCGTCCACTTTTGAGAGATGATGGCAACTGTAGAAACCGCTCTTGTGGAAATAGATCTGGCTTGCAATGTTGCCTCGTATTGACTTGTGATTGAAATAGGCCGTGTCAGTTGAGAACTTGCCTTTCAGTCTTGGTCTTAGGAACATGCGGTCCGCTCGGTACCTCCTTGCCAGTGGTAGTATGGCGGATCGCGTTCCCCTTTGTAGTGTCGATCTCAAGGTGGCTCGTGCTCTGTGCAAACCGATTCCCAGTCGTTCAGATACCTTCTCTGCCGTTGCTTTGGTGTGTCGTTCCGTGGATACAAAGGACGGTCTCACAGGTACGTCTGCGAATCGTGCATCATCGTCCATTCGTCCAACTTGTTGGAAGAATCTTTCCCCATCGACTATTGTCTGCTGTACCGTGCGCCATTCGTTCATTCCTTGCATGATTGGATCCAATTGTCTCAATTCAGCTTCGTTGGATCTTGGGTCATCTATTGGGTCTTTGTGGACAATTGAGACCTTCCCAAGTTGTACGGTACCTGGGTTCCAAGGCACTTTGCTCGTCATATCAATGTGGGGGCAATTTGCAAGTTCTTGGTCAGTTGGGGCCCTTGAATCAAATAGTAATTTTGTCCCCTTTGCCTTGAGTGCAACAAATATCGGCTTAGTTTCGATGCCAATATTCCTCATTTCATCAAACGGATTGTCCCATAGGGGAATTCCGAACTTGCGGACTTGGTTTGGGTTGATCAATGAATGATCTAACCGGTTCCCATAGTAAAGTGCTTCGTTGACGATCAATATGAACGTGTTGCCGCTCTGTGGGCAGTCATAAGCGGTTGCTCCAGATACAATTGGTACATTGGTTGGTGGTAGAGCTGGGTCGTACGCGTACACATCCGCCGATCTTGGTGTGTAGCTCATGATAACAAAGTTCTTGCCAAGGCAACAAGTGTCGGCGTTAGTATCCATCTCATTGCTCGCCGTCGTTCCTGGTGTTGGTTGTTGCACTGGTCGCTGGGATGCGGCTGTGTTGGATG